GGCAATTTTGCGAGCTTCTTCCTCTGATAAGCGAATTTCAGTGGTGGTAATTATTGAACAAAGCCCATCTCCTGTTCCACTCACAATTCCTTCAGAGAGGTATTGGTCAGGGATGTAATCGACCGTCTCAGAGTCCGGTACCTCAGAACGCTCCTGCGAGACTTCCCAAACTATTTCTTGAACACTTTCCTCTGGAACATGAATTGGACTCGACAATGGGGGGAAGCTTTGTTGAGAATCTAAGGGAAGGGAACTTTTTGGGCTGATAATTTTACGTTCTGGACTCAATTCGTCAGCAGGGGATGAAATTTCTTCTTGAAAAATATCAGACTTGACGCGTTGCTCTAGAATAGAGATTTGTCGCTCTTGGCTTTCAGCACGAGTCAGCTTTGCTCCAAAATCCGAGGGAACCTTCTTGGCCTCGTCCAGCTGTGTGGTGAAAGTTGTGATGGATGTGGATATGACTTTTGATCCGTCAGCTAGCTGGGTTTCTTGAGTTTTCGTTTCTTTGACAATTCTTTGTTCTTGCCCTCCGGAACGCGTTGTAGTAGTCTCTCTGATAACCACTTCCTCAACATCACCCACAGTTCGACGCTCTTCCGTCAACTTCTTTTCAGCTAGCAACTGTTGCGTGTCGTCGCCGCTGGAATCGTCGGTTCTTGTTGTCACACTGTCACTGGACTCAGCCTCCAATGACGAAGAAGTAACGACTGAGCTTCTCATCTCAGATGACGCACTATCGACAGTTGAACTTGTCTTGTCCAGACTGGAATACATGTCCGAAGATCGGTCCAGGCTGCCGGTTAGGGAGTCCGATACTTCCGAACTAGTGCTCTGCAAACTAACCAATTTGTTAACCACAGCTAGTTTTTTAGGCTCTGATGTTTCGCTTTGGTCAGTGCTTGAAGTCGTAGTAATTTGGGGTATATTTTCTTTACGGAGAGGCAGAATATATTTTTCATCGGTTGAGTCTTCGCTACCACTTTGTTTCAACGGGCGTTTTCCAGCAGAATCGTCACTTTCCACCGACTGCTTCTTGATTTCGCTTTCGAAAAGCTCTCGTTTTGTTTTTACATCCTTCAGTGATATGTCTTCTGGGGAAGGAAGATCTGACGATTTCTCATTCCTCTGAACTTCATACGGGCTGATACCTTCCTCTTCGGTAGTGGTCACGTCGATTTGCTCTGTACCAACAAACGCAATATTTTCATACCCCGAGGTCGGTCGTGAGCTTCGGCCTACCAATTCCGAGTCACTTTCAGTTTCACTTTTGGCTATGGAACTTCTTTTTGAGTCACTTCCTTGGGAAGATACAGTCTCCCAGAATTGTTTTCTTTCTGAGTAGGGCTTTACATCTTCTGCTACTGAGCTACTTTCGACTTCAGATACTATTTCCTCCTTCTCTTCTGTACTTTCTGTTGTCTTAGTATAAATGTTGGTTGTCTGAGAAAAAGTTCTTTCATGTCGCCGAATAATTCGGCCAGGAGCTTCCTCCGAAATAGTCGAAGCTTTTGTATCCACTGTGGAAGAGGGAGAAGCAAATTTGGAACTGGCCAGTAAGAAATAGTTCGGGACAACGGTTGATTTGCAGGCGAAATTCAGCAAAAACTACACAAACGTTAAAAAAACAATGTTAGTACACAATTTTGAAATATTAGTCAAATTAAAATGAGCTTGATTTTCCATGCATTTGTAGATTTCGAGTTTCAATGATTCAAAGAATCTCTCCAATCAATATGGTAAATGACAAAAGCTGGAACAGGGATATAGCAATTAGCCCCATTCGAACTTTAGAATTTCAAATATCATGTAAACTAAATCTGCGGATTACATGACCAATGAATTTTTCATACCGTGCGTTCATGTAATATTCCTTTTGAGTCATATCTGTCTGCTCACTCCAAATAAATCAGAAAAAATTACATACAACAGATCTAGGCCCAGCTGCGAGGGCACTTCGAGGTAGACATCAAGTTCCTACCTCAGAAAAAAAGATGTGCAGAAATTTGCGTTGTCAAAACAGATTATTGAATTTGTTAATCAAATTCAGTCCTATTGACATAAACAAGTGATGAAACAAGTGAATCTTGAGTACTTTGAAGCGCTTTAGGCACAAAGAAATTAACTTGACCGCAAATTGTCAAAGCCCTTTTCCATCATCTTCACTGTCGAATAAGTACGTTTTCGAAGAAAGGCAGGAGCTTTCGAGAATTCAACTACAAGAAAAAAAAATTCAAAGAGAAGATTTCAACATGAAACAAGGGAACTATTCAAAAAAACTAAGTCATGAACGATGGTCTACCGCTGAAAGAAACGTCACAACTAAATGAATACAGTCAACGGCAACTAAATATAGTTTCTCGCAAAATTAAGGAACTCGATTGAACACCACACTTGCAAATCAGGTATTTTCTAAAAAAAATAATTAGAAAACCATTTTTGTTAAAGATTGAAAATTTTTGTGTTATTTTCGTTAGTATGTTACAAGAACGCACATTTAAAATACCTTCAAGTTAATGGTAGAAAGATGGCTTCATACACATTCTTGGTCCAATAGTTTAGAGAAAATAAGTGATTACTGCTCAGATTTTTCTATCGACGAGGGTAAGACATACGTTTTTTCTTTCGTTTCCATGTATATATTTTCAAAACTAGAACACAATTCAGCCCGTAAAAAAGTCTTAGTTGAGACGTCTCCCAAAGTTTTCTCTAGTGTGGATATTGTTGGATGATTTTCAGATGCAGCAGCCTCAAGATTCATCTCATCGTAAATGTTTTCGTAGCTTGATGAGCTTCTCACAAGTTTTCGTCGATTATTTGGGCGCAGATCGTCAACATCTGAAGAGTACTCATGTGATTCTACATCCGCGGCAGCGAATGAGTCGATTTTAGAGTCAACGATAACGTCAACCGCCACGAGACGATCTTCAGATTCTTCGCCACCAATCGGATCGCCATCGAGTAAGTCAATTCCATACTGTGCCATGTCTCTGATAGCTTTTTCCTGTTCTTCGTAGTAAAGATCGGCTTCAGGGCTTAAACATCGTTTTTCGACATCAATGAGGCAATGAGGGAAGGTTACTGGTCGAACTCCTCTTATACGCCTTGACACGCAGGACTTACGCAAGGTTACGCTCGCTGAGGGACATTCTTCAGTGCCAACAAACCGGAGGTAAATAAAAAAATACTATCAGGAAAATAATGCATGGGATGATGTGATCGAACGCCAAATGGAACCGTGATTGAGAATCGATACGGAAACCGTTGCTTCTGGAACGTCTCGATTTTTCCATTTCGTGTGAATGATGGAGTAGAGTATCGAAGTCGAATTATTAGACTTTTGAATTCGTTTAAACTATCTCTCGCTAGAACCCACCCTACCAACATGCTTATAAATAATCGGAGAATAATTTACTGATGATAGATAGGAAGAACAATTTTTTTTCAATTTCTAAATAGATCGTATTCGTACCTGCTTCGAGGATAGTGGGCTGAAGCGAGGAAGAAGGTATGAGGTTGGATGATTTGCAGAAGGTGGTCGGAGGATAGTCATCACTATGATCATTTTGTATGGAAGTAACCGAATTAGGAGAATCAGCTTCAGCTACCAGTTTGTCAAACTCTTCTTCTAAGCTGTCTCTATTCATTTCATCCGAGTCTACCAAGTCTGAGAAACTCCTCTCTCGTGATTTAGAGTCAGAAGGACTGCAGTCACCTGTTGAGCCAGTTTCAACAACGGTTGATTCTGTCCGCCTAGCTTTGCGCGTCTCCTCACTCGGCCAAACGCTACTAAAATCGTTAGCAAGATGTAGCTTTGGTGGAAAATTATTGAACGTTTTTCCATCAATTGATTCTTCAGCGTCATTGGTAAGAGCAGAAGCATTGGCTACAACGATTTCGTCGACAAATACTTCAGAGTCTTTTGTTTCAGATCCAGGAGTTTCTCGGAAATCTCCCTCAAGGTGAGACGCAGGAAGTTCCTGGAAGTCAGATATTTCTTTTTCGTTGGTATCGTTCTGGCTGTTATCCTCACTTCGCCCTTTCGAACCCATTCTTCCATCTTCAGATTCTAGTTGAGAAGCATGTGCATCTCGTTCGGTTTGACATTCTCGCATCTCCATGGGTGTTGTGATGTCCGTATCTTCTGTAGCTTCAACTGACAACAGCCTCTCACTAAAATATGGACAATGAATACCTGAAAGTGGGAATATGTCATCATCAATGTCAGGGGCTTCGTCTTCCGTTCGGGTGTCCAGAACATCAGCTTCGAAACGGTTGTTGTCCACGGATGCGTCTGTGCTCGTACAATCGATTTCCGCTTGATCTACACTGGATTCATCACCGGGAGATAACAGTTCCGACGGGCCTTCGTTCGAACAAAATCGAGCAGAGTTCCTTGACGAGGTTTCAGCGAAAGAAATGGAAGTTACAGCTATAGGCTTCGGCGGGACAGTATAGGCAGAAGAGCATTCGAAGGATTCGTGTTTGTCAACGGAAATTTCTGAAGTATCAATACGTACAGATTTTATGATAGAATTCTTGGCACTAGTTATGACACTGGTAGCTGAGGCTGAAATAGATTTTGAAACCGAGACAGGACGAGAGGTACAAGGAGGGAATACATTGGGTTGTGAGGTGCTAGAAAATTCTTCCGACGTAATCAATGATGATTTTGCGCGGTCTGTTTCAGAAAAAACGGTGTCAACAGAATCTTTGCTGACTCTCTGACTTTGAGTCATTGGGTCAAAGCCATGGCCATCGTCTGAAATGGACGAAGGGCAAGAATGTTATGAAGCTTCAGCTTTGTATCGATTTTAAACTGGAAAGTAAGTTAAGTGGAATTAGTTAAAAATAAACAGTTTCCTACAACACTCCTGCTACTTGTTAGTAAGAGACGAACACCAACGAAAAAATAGTTAATACTAATGAGACATCGTAAGGAAAGCAGTGTTAGCGGACGCCACGACGCAAAAAGGATACGCAAGCCAAAAGAGGCTTACCTCTAATTTGAGACATCAGATTAAACTCGTCAGGAGTGGCTTCAGATATATATGATCCTTCTTCAATGCCTGAAGGGCGAACGAATCTAGGACTCGGGGAGCGACACGGAGACATTCTGTGCAAAGTGAACACCCTTTCCTCACTCCGATCTAAAACTCCGGTGCCCGAAGAAGTAGACGAAATAATTTCACCGAAGCCACCGGGATATTTCTCTGGTACTTCAACAAACTCTTCAATACTGCGAATTTCTATAGTTTCTTTCCCGGACTCAGTGGTGTGGACGAGCAACTTGACCTCAGCTTTGATAACACGGTTGTCTTCACGATCTCTGCCAATTTTTATTTCTTCTTCTTCCCATCTGGGAGAATCTCTCATGATTAAGCGTTCATCTTGTTCTTCAGGGCGGTTCGTCTCGCTATGTGTCAAGGGCAAAGATGCCACTCCTTCAGTGACGGCTTTGGGCTTTAGTTTAGAAGTAGGAGGAACTCGGTCGGAAGTTAAAACTTCATCTAAGCTTTCGTCGAGAGGTGTGATGAGGGGTATGGGAGTCGTCTCTGCTTGTGGTGTGGTTCCCTTCAAGTAGACTGAGCTATCTTTAACTGATGTAATTTTCTTTCCATTTCCAATGCCATGCGTACTATCCAGTTCAGCGCTTCGCGCCGCCTCTAAGTCAAGTATTCTAGCAGCTGAGAAAAAAATATCAAGTCAGAATATGTCTCCACAGCATAACATGTAGAGCCGACTTGAGTCATCATCTCGGTCGGTCAGAAGGGAAGGGCTGAAAGCCCTTTTTGTGGGCATGTTACAGCAAGAACAAAAAAAAAAAAAAAGAAGAGGCGTAGGTCGTCAAGCAAGTTAGTTCAGAGATAATTATATTCCAAGAAACAAAAGTCCTAAGAATTTTCGAACGCTATTAGTAAAAAAAAAAACATGCGTTCAGTCACAGCTACGACGAAAGAGTGCACTCCGGGTACTAATCTGACTAGAGTCGATCTAGCGAGAATAATAAAGCTAATCTACAACAGATACACGCTACCAAACATCTATTACCTATGGTTCCTTTCGAACTAGTGTTAATTTAGCAATGGTAAGAACATGACCAATGCACTAGATGCGTCAATTTCCTTTACAGAACAAAACACGATTATAAAAGTTGAATCTAATTGTTTCACGAAATAGAAGTTTACCCTGTCGATTCAATACAATAAATCAAAACGAATGGAAAATATTTGCAAACAAATAGTTAAAAAATTTGAAGGGCAACGAATAGTGAACTAAATTTAATTCTGAATTTTAAACACGAAAGGAGAAAGAGCTTCAACACATGAATTTTAGTACAGCCGCAGATATGAAATTTGAAATGAAAACTTACGAATTACAATTAAATAATCGCGCTAATTTTTTGAAATACAAAAACGGAAGAATTGGAAAATAATTCAATGAGCAGAATATAGATATAAGGAAACATAATTTTGATCATATTTGTATCTCAGAGATGTAATTGCTCAGGGGTTCCTTATTATGATTTTGTGAATGAATATTCATCATCACAGACATCTAAGTCTTTATATTCGAAGTGGGCACTGAATCTATTCGTATATTGGAGACTAGTTAGTTCAGTTGACAGTGGATAAAATGTTTTTAAGGTATAGCAGGATTCTAAAAAAAAGAAGGTTACGGGAAATTCAAGACGAAAGTTCGAATACTTCAAAACGGAAGTGCTGAAACTAGGCGGTCAAAAAATAAAGCTAAAGGGTATTTCGGAATTTGTTTTTCAATGACAATTTTTCTTTCATCAAAGATGGATGAATAACAACGTATACTATTTTTCCATCATCCACATTTGTGAAAAGGAGAAGTCGAGCGAGCGTCATTGCAAGCAGTTCGTATTCATTCATCAATACGTTCATATATAGGATCACGAATAAATTCAACACTGATTTTCATCAATATTTGCAAGTGTGGTGTACAAATCTCTGTACAAACCAGAGGCTTACATCAGAAATTCGGTACACTCAAGCATCTGGTTTCCATCCTCAACATTGGAACAGTGGAAGTAAAATGCATAGGGTACAAGAAAAAGGGGAAAAATAACACCGAAAGACGTAAACTTATCGTTAAAAATACAAAATCATCTGGAGAAAAAATTAAAATTGTAACGAATAATAATTAAAGTAACGCTTATGTATGATTTTGCCAGTTCAAGTGCTATGAAATGCCATACAAGATGCATATGATATGCATACGAATACAGAAGACTTGAACGATGACGAAATGAATTTTTTATGATGAATCTGAAGCTTTTTACGGCAAAGAATCCTTCCTTTTCAAAAATTACATCAATTCCTCGCTTGATTAACAAACTTTTAAATCTCTAGTCTGCGACGAATATCCCTAGATTTGCATCACGACGAATAAGTGTCAGAATCACGACGAATGATTATCTGTATAACGACAATAAACTTGTATGATACAGAATATTTTTCTAGTGTATCCACAGCAGGAGATGTGAATAGAAATGAACTTTCTGAATAGATGTGTATCTGATTAAAGAACTGATCTGATCTATGAACTAATCAGATCTGATTAATGAACTAATCTTATTAATAACATTATTTAGCGAGTACTATGATGATTGTGCACAACGGTGGGGAATAAATTATAAACGATAACGCACAACGCCATAACAGCTGGTGCATGTGATAAGAGAAGACTATCACTGAAAGGAAACTGTGGGTTGATTAGACTTACTCAACGAGTCGCGTAAGCATACAACTGACAAATTTTTCCTTCATGATTCCAGTCAAGCTAATTCTTTTAATGAGAATCTTCAAGAATTTATTCACAATGAAAGAAAATGAGCTAAAAATTACTTGGAACTTGGCACTAAAACGGCGTCTTGACCGAAACAGATACTGATTAATTTCATTTTATTACATTCAACCATTGTTTTCTTTCAGTGATTTTCCATGCAAGAAGATTTTCAAGACCCCAGAAGCTTCGTTTTTGGGCAAAAAATTATTGATGGGTGCAGATAAGGTATTTTTGATGATAGTGTGTATATACACGAGTGCTTAAATGGGTAAAGCAAACGCGCTCTCTCTCTCAAAAGGCCTGAAAACATGAGAGTAACTACGCCTAATTTGAATTTTCTGAACCGGACTGGGTACAATTAGCACAATTCATGCTCAAAAGTAAGGAAACATTATTTTTTAGATCAACAGAAATTTGTTTGACTCGAGGTTATTTTTCAACGAGCATCGAAAAATCTCACAAAGTTCTTTTGAAATGCCGGTATTCCCCCCAAAATTTCTAAATAATTAAAAGTAAAAAAAAAAACAATTTAGACAGCTAACAATTTCTTGTTCATTTTTATCAAATGAATTATTCATATTATTCAGAAACATTCTTCACCGTTCTGATACATTGATAGTATTTAAATTACCGAGGGCAATCAGTCAGAATATTTTCACGTTTATCTTCAAAAATCAAATATTTTTGATCTGTACGGGAAAAAGCACGCGTCTTTAGAATTCGTTGCGCATTTTAGTATAGTACTACGACATCTGTATTGAATTTGATGCATCAATTTAAAATATTAAGTAAATTCCTAGCAAGAATTAGTGCTAAGTAAGTAATGTGCAAGTGACCTGAGTTGGCGTGCAGAGAGAGCTGTGTGTGCTTAGCGCTCGAAATTTAAAAACAATTGAAATAAAAGTAAATATGCGGGATAATCAATTAATTAAGTAACTAAGAAGGGCAAGAGAATTGGGAAGGAACAACACTTAAAAAAATTACAACGTTTAAAAAAACACAATGGTAAATAGAACATAGATAAGAAATGGAAAAGGACTAATTTAATAGAATATATGTATATTAACATAAGAAGAACAAATTTTTACCTCAAATCAATTATCTAGAAATCCTTGATGGTGAATAATAATCAAAAATATACTATAAAAATTAGGGACCGTATGGGAAATGAATTGCCTATATCATTTTCCGACCGTCGGCTTGTTTTGAACTACATTGTTTTTTGACTGATTTTAATTTGACGTTTTTTAATCGATTGCGTTTTCGTAGCATGGAAAATCAGCTTGTTATGAAACACGTCGAATAAATCCTAAAACTAAGCAAGATCCAGAAGCTGATGTTTGTTTTAAACAATTCTGCATCAAAGTTAAAGAATCAACATCAAAGTTGACGAAGAGAACATCAATACAACTTGCGGTTAAATTATATAAAAATGAACCGTTCAACGTTTGGTAGAAATGAAGATTTCACATCAAAAAAGTAAATGATTTTTTCTTGTAATAATCACCATCTTATAAGATGATTGCACAAACATTGATGTGAGAAACATTGATTTAAAAGCATAATTAGTTAAGAATGAAAAATTCACAAAGTAGTAGAAACAGTTCGTTCATTATTGAAAAATTTTTTCTTCCCATCGGTTTTTTCTTCCAACGCAAAGTCGGTTGAACAATTTTTGATTCCGACAGACTTTAACCTAACTACATTGATAAGAGAATAACCAACCGTCATAACCAACTGCAGATATTGAGATGCGACGTGTGAAAATATAAATTTGAAGTCCATTGATAGTACAAGATTTGTTTGTAACTTGCCAAGTTATTGTTTGTAACTTGACAAGTTATTTTTTTTAACTTGCCAAGTTATTGTTTGTAGCTTGTCAAGTTATTGTTTGTAACTTGCCAAATTATGGTTTGTAACTTTTCAAGTTATTGTTTGTAACTTGCCAAATTATAGTTTGTAACTTGCCAAATTATTGTTTGTAACTTGCCAAGTTATTGTTTGTAACTTGCCAAGTTATTGTTTGTAACTTGCCAAGTTACTGTTTTTATTGATGCTGATGATGATGAAACTTTGACTATGGACCAATGACTGAACCTCAAAACCCAAGTTGAACCATTAAGTAGACCAGGCAGGGTTATTAGTCGCAAAAAATGCACGAATTCTGTAATAATTGTGGAACTTTCCAAGGTAAGTTTATGCACCTTATGTCTTAGGGGAAAAATTGCTTGAACATTGCAAACCATGAACATAAATGCGTATATATGGGTAACCATAAACTACACTGAAGAACCTAATGTTTTACCTGCGCTTTCTGTAGCCTTCTCATGGTCGCGCGAGGTGTGCTCGGCACGGTCAGTTTCTAGGGAAAAAGGGGGGAAAAAGGGAAAAAATTATTATCCAGCACATTAATTAATTAAAACAATCATGCTCTATACTATAGCCAAAAGCAAACAATAAAATTTACAATAAATCTGATAATAATACGCACTACGTGTAATATTAGAATACACAACAAACGAGCATTGCATTGAACACCATACGCGTGAATGGAGTGATTATTGTCCAGTTTTTCCTCAATGAATAAATAATTATACGGTGAGAAAGTACCTATTGAAAGGATTGCCGTATTTCGCACGACTATTCATTTTTACGTTTATCTGCGTATCGATAAGAAGATGTAAGTGTTCATGGAGCCGCAACTTTCATCAGAATAAATAACGTGCGATTAAATGGCAAAAATGATTTATATTTAATAATAATATTAATAATATTTAATATTAATAATAGTAATATTTAATAATACCATCAAAAATGATGGTATAATAATTCGAACGCAGAGTGACTGCGCTACGCGGTTCAAAGAAACAGTGCTTCCCAGTCAAAAATTGAGGGCATTTTAAACGCGCGGTTACGCGCAACAATTTCGGGCATATTGCGCATGAGTCGCCTTCGTTTGGTATTCGAAATGTCCACTTGTTAAATTACAAATCCGTGTTCTTTTCCTACAAGGCCAAGAACGTTGAAACAACGCGGAATCGACGTTAATTAAACCAGAAAACATTTATTTCAACCTTGATTCAATGTTAGATGTATAGTGGGTTCCTACAAACTGAAGGCAGCTCCGTGTATAAATAGAGACGTGCAACCGGCAATGCCTCTAGTTAGTAGTTACAGACGCAAATTAAATTAAAAATCCTTGTCGCAATATCATTTGAAATCATTAAACCTGAATTTAATTTAAATACAAATTCAAATCATAATGCGCAAATATCCAGCAAAATTTCTTGTTAATTTTAGAATATCGTGCATTCGCTCGCTTCTACAGTCATTTCATCGTGGTTGTACACGGCAAGAGATCAAAGTTAAATCGAAACTATATAATCCAGATTTACTATGTGGGAGTACTTGACTGATGACTATGCTTCATCATATTTGAATCATTATTATATATTATATTTTGTTAGATTGTATATATATATATATGTATATAATAAATTATATATTATATCAGAAGGCGCACAGCTACTGCGTTCGATTGAACTGACGCATGCAGCGTATCACAAATATTTTTAGTCTATGGCCAATTGTCGAGAAAATAAGTTTCCAATTATACAGTCAACTGCATGAATTTGGACGAGCATACCATTAATTTCAGGTAGTTACCATTCGATTAAAAAATACGCTCTTGGTTGGCTTTCACGCATGTAACACGCCGGATAACCGCCCTCGATTTTAGACAGGATAAGTTTCACAAATTATAAAAATCGAAATAGTGAACTGAAAGTTGAAATTAAGGTAAGAAATTTTCAGTATTCGATAAACATTAGAGTGTCGATAATTTAGATTGAAAACCGCTTGATTTGTGCCCATCTTCAATTTGCGTTCAATTACACCATGAATTTTTCTTCAATGGCTTCACTATGAAAATACTCTTGAAAATTTGTTCCAACAAAGTTGTTAAAATGATTCACAAAACAAGGTAAATTTTGGAACCTTTAATAAATTAAAAAATTAAATTAATTAAATTAATTGCTTTCTTAGCGGAATAATTATATTTCAACGATTCAATTATATTTATATATTCACAGTTGTTACAAACATTCTACAGATACGAACTCCGTTCATTGCAAATCTAAGCAAACGGTTAAAGTTCGAGAGCTGTTAAAAAAAATGAGAAGAGCAAAACTGGAAACAAGTTTTTACCACAACAGAAAAGATTAGCGCCAAATGCGTATGAATAATGAGGGATAATTTGCGTGATAATAATTAATTATTCAATCAGTAACTAATTGAATAATTTGATATATAAATGAGAAAAACTCAAACTCATATCATAAATCAATGACTTTAAAAGGAGTTAAATAATTAAAACTTTATAATCTTAAAATTTCAAATTTTTATGCAATAATAATATCATGGATTGTTAAAGAAATTTGATGGATTATCCATTTTCAACACAACGAAAATAGTTAAGGACGGAATTTTACGATAGTGAATCCGTTCAGCGATGAAGAAAACAATGCAAAATAAATGGGTTTGAAACAGAGTAAGATTAAAAATAGGGATGACAAATTTTAATTTGCGCTGCAAATTATTAAATGAATATATCCGAACTTGTTTCTTATGCACTTCCACTCTTTTTATGCACTGCTTCTAAACTAATCATTTTATTATAAAACAAAATTCATTACTAGAAGGTTGGATTGCTAAATGAAACTAATTGTGAAAAAATTAAAATCACTACATATAAGATTTTCCAGGTACGAATGAATGTACGAGAACATTTCTTGGATCGGTTTTTGTTGTTAAACTCGCAATGCGTTCATTTTTATTCAAGTTGCCCCCAAAACTACAATGGCTAACTATATTATCGTCACTGCGTAACCAAACGTAAATAGAAAACTCTTTCACTATAGCGCCCGGATAGGGAAATTAAACACTGCCAGGACTGTCTTATTGCCAAAACGCTGATTTGAGAACATTACAGAGTGAACTATGATCAACATCTGTATTCTGAGGATATTATTATTATGAATAGTTGCCGCTGAAATATGTTGCGGTTTGTCGTTTTCGGAACAAACTTGATGTTGTTCACGATTTTAAAATTTGAGTTAAAGGCGTTAGTTTAATTCTTTGTTAAAAAAAATTAGTTGAAATGTTCACTTTCCCTGTATTAGTCGAGTTTCACTGTTCAATCAGTGATCATTTAATATAAACAGACAAAATGGTGTTAGAATTTCACTAATAATCCGAAAAATTGTTTTAATTCAAGGTTGATCGTACAAAATATTCATAAAATATTACAGGAGTTGCGTTCTTTCTGATGGCTTCTAATAAGCCTGGCAGTGTGTAGGTTCCAATCGTGTTTTTCAATTCCTACTCAAAAACGAACGATTTTGAAATGGATCGACGAAGAACCTGCAACTGGAGTAGGACAAGCAGGTTACTACTTCCCACCTGCAGAAGTAAGAAAGCCTCGATAGAAGTAAGACTTAGTGCCGCCAAACTTAGGAAAGAAGATCAAATCTGAAGGGGTAGAAGAGAAAGGGGAAGGTGAAAAATCAAACGTCAAACGGTGAAATTGAGAGGAAACACAGAAGAAATATCGAATCAAACAAAAAAATATTACAAGCAAGAGAAATGAAGGATGGCCGTTTTTAGCAAATGGGAGGGAAGAATAAATAGTGAACATCAACTAATTAAATATTAGGGGAATCAAAATTACGGAGAATTCGGGATTCACAAAAGAGGAAAATCAATAAAAAAATTGCGTATAAAGATGTGAGTGACAACAACGGAACATTAATATATTTTAGTCGCACAGTTGGGCATCATCAATTGCTACAGTTAGGAATTTCAGTACTATTAATTTCAGAGCTGACAAATGGAGGCAACCTGAATAATATTGTAATTTTTTATTTTCAATCATTCAGTTAGAAAACAAAAAAAATCTTAATGAATGGAAATTTGGTCTAAGTCCAATGTAAATAATATAACAATAATCATGTTTCGAGAACCGCAGAGAGCTGTAAGTAAATGTGGCAGCGCAGCATTTCTTTCTATTTCTCTTAACACAAACTTCCCAGCTACCGTACTCTTAATTTTTTGTTAATCTTCATGATGACTTTACGGGAGAGTCAGCTGAAGCGTAGGATGTTAGTTCAAGGAATTAGTTAGTTTTTAGCGGAACTAATTCTGTTCATTCCGCAAATCAAATTAGTTTTTAACGGAGCTACTGGTCAAATAAAATTAGAGGTTCAAAGTAATCAAATACTTGAGACCCAAAAAATCTAAACCATTTTAAAACTGTAAAATAATTTACAGAAAATTATAAACAAAGGAAAGCCGACTACAATACGCGGTTGAACTATACGGCGATTCCGTGAAAATAAACAAAACCAAATCAAACCTGGGCTCCTCAACTCCATCGAGCGATTCGACATCTGTGTTGGAGTGAATATTCGAGTACAAAAGGTTCCCTTTAATAGAAGGATCGTCTTCTGCTACAGAGGCAACTTCTTCCGAATGGGTGATCTTAGTGGATTCGCCTTCGAGCGTCACGCTCCCTCCACTGCAAGTGGCTTCGAAGAAATCTTCAGTGGCGGAAGCCTCCAAATCTTCCGTATCGGTTAAGGTTGAAGAAACCTCCACCGGAACACTCCTAACCTGAGCTGGTTCGATGATGACGTTGCCGGTTGTACGGTTAGGACCCTCCCGGTAGATCTCGGTTCTTTTCACAGCTGCCCTCCGAATAATTTCAGGAGTCTCCATTGGATACTTGGATTCGTCTTCAATGATGTCTTCCATGGCAGACACCTCGAAGTTTTCCGAATCTGTATCCTCGTCCACGCTGATAACGGGATTTTTTGATTTTGAAACGGCTTCCTCGTCTGAATCTTTTCCGCTGAGTAGTTCTTCGTCAGTGCCGTGGTCACCTGTTGGATGTTTATAGGACCTTTTACTTTTCTTCCCGCGCCTTTTTTGAAGAATAACTAATTCATCATCAGTAGTTCCTTCTTCGGTTGGAGGAGCAACAGGTTCTGATAGATGTCGCATGATTTTGTGTCTCAGTTTTGAAGTAATTTCTGAATCATCTGTTCCCAAATCTTGGTAAGTTTCTTTTTCGGGTTCCTGGAGGCCAAATATCCTCAGTGCTTCATCCAAAGTGATTTCGATGTCTTCGGTAGCGGTGCTTGGTCGTTCTACATCTGGCTGAGTGACATTCAAAAATTCATCGCCAAGTTTTTCAATTTTCACCTGTGGAACACCATACTTATCTTCTTTGATGTGAATACGTTCTCGTTTGGGGCTACACAAAACTGAGTATTCAATGTCATGAGGGATGGGTGTTCCAGGGCGGTACACGTCGCCTCGTTCGTCGTCAAAATCTTCCATGTCAGTAAGAGGAGTTCCAGGCTGCACTTTGATGGTCAGTCCTTCATCAGCTGGTTTAATGATCTCTTCATCGGTGGCGTTGTCATCATCATCTTCTAAAAACATTACCCCCGGCACATTGTCAAATACCTCTGGGGCGTTAGGGTCATTTAGGCGTTCGGGAACAATCAGAATATTGACAGAGCCTTTTTCGGATTCAAGGAAGCGAAGTTCTGCTAGATCAGATCCATCTGCGACTTGGATTTGTGAACAGGTACTGTTACCATTACCTAATATTTCATCGTCCGAAGCCTCCATGCTCTCATTGCTAGTAATAGATGACGCATCATCCGGTTTTTCTTTTACGTCATCAATTGCTACAACAGGAATTGAATCGCCATCCTCATTTAAATTCTCTTCAGCAGTATCGCCTCCGTCAGAATCATCTGATTCACCAAATGAAAGGTTGGAGGGTAAGCACATCCTCAGTGACTTGATGGTAGAACTTGTCTTCATTACATTGCTGACAGCACTTTTCCATTTCCCGATGGTGCTCTGTGTGCCGGAGCCACAATCCAACTTTTCTAGTATGTTGCTATCTTCAGCTCGTCTCCAGGTACTCAACTCGCCAAGAATGTCCCTTTTTTCGTCATCACCAAAGTCTAGATCATCTTCGTTGTCTGTTGGAACATCGCTAGCAGTATCTTCAGCATCAGTTTTGTCTTCTTCCGCAATATATTTAACATACTCGAGCTTTGGTAACGGAAGCTCATCCTCCTTTTCCCCTATTTCGAAACCTTCTTCATCAGTGTCTTCCTGTTTGACGCCAGGTTCGGTATCTGGACGCTCATTCACTCGCGTGATCTCGCAGTGAGGCTCAGGAAATTCGAAAGGCACATCCTTTGGAGTCGGGACTGCCATCAAGTCTAGCTCATCACCTGAAGCAACGCAATCTTCTGTGTCTGTCTTGTATGAAAAGACTACACCGATGACATAACCTTCATCGTCACTTTTGTCGTTACCAAGGCTCTCAGTATCTGTTTCGTAGTCACTCATATCGCCAGGTGAAAGCTTTGGTTTTTTGGTAGATTGGCACGATACACTTTTCTTAGCTTTCTTACGTCGCGCCTTTACGGAGGGCACTCTCCTGCCAGGTATCAATGAACGGTTCACTTTACTAGCAAGTTCTTCTTCCTCTGTGATTCCTTCGTCATTTTCACGGGGTGTATTCAGTTTGAAATTTTCGCTCTTTCCCTTAGCAGAGTGATAACACGATTTTCTTGTTGGAATATTAACATGTTGGACAGACGACGAACAAATTTGATCTCCATGTTCGAAATAGATTGTAGGAACTGCTGTTTCGTCATCAGCCTCGTCACCGACAGATCTCTCGTCGTCAGAGTCTGAAATGTTCTCGGAATCTGTAGGTACTTGATTCACAACAAGCACGTTTTCAGCAGACATGAGCTTATTTTCGGTAGCTGCGACGTTACGTTGATGACGACCATACACTTCTACATTGTCTGCGACATCCGACAAGGTAACAGAAACGTCACTTGCTTTGTACCCTTCCGTCAAGTTAACAACCTCATTTTTGAGATCAGGAACAAATTCTAAGGCATCAACCCCATCTTCTACTGTAACAGACGTTTCGTCATCTTCCGATGCGTTCATGGTTTCTGTATCAGTGAGACCAGCCTCAATTTTATCGATCACAAGCAGTGATGTCTTTCCTTCACTTGCCGGAACAAGTTCTTCAACATCAGTTAGACTTTCACTTTCGTCACCATTAACTTCCTGAATTTCAACATCTTCACTAAGACTCGTAGCATCCACAGGCAATCCCGGCATTATTTTATAATTTAGTAAAAAGAACAAAATATACTGTAAATGTGAAAATATAATGAACAGTGAGATAGAAATTGCAGAAAAGTGCTTCTATGTGAAAAACATCGAGTGAGAAAGCATGCATTCGAGGAGTTCGATCCTGTCAAGAATGGGCAATACAAAAGACCTCAAATCCTGACCAGAAGATACCGAGTTTTCGACGAACGAGATGAGTGATTCCAGACCAATTACGACGCGACTGAAAACTATATCCCACGTTTCAATTCCAACCTTTCGACACGAACACTCATTAGTCGCCATTGTTTGAGTAGCGGTACTGTGTGTCACGATGTTACTCTTAGGTTCTATGGGAATTGAACGGTTGAGTGAAACGGGAGTAACTGCGCATGGGACTTTCAAAACGCGCCTCCATCGATGTTTGGCAAGAGAAGAGCCTTTACGTGGGTCGATTGAGTTCTCTAAAGTAGATCCACAATTAGATATAAAGTGTTTCGGCTTTGAAGACATAGCATCAGTGGTCCTAAATACATCAAAGGGTACTTTATTTTTAGCATCAAGGGGCTCCTGCAATACGCCAGATCTACAAAGCAACTTACTACGACTAGAAACATCGTCTACCACGCTACTTCGTTTTTCATGTAGGTCGGAACATGGTCGATTCGAGTGAAGTGCGATGTTGTGGGTAGCACTTTCATAGTTTAACAGCTCACCTGAAGAAACAGCATTTGAAAGTTCATCCTCAGTTTCGCGATGGAGCTCGGCAATAGTGGGCAATCTAGCGAGTTCTTGTTCTTCTTCTTTGCATAGAAATTCCCTGAACTCCCTAAGGGGAGTGGGAGTTTCCGGAGTGGGAGAATCGCTTTCGCGCATCTGTTTCACCTCCCGTTTGATTTGGCGGGTCGCCGCTCTCATCTCGGCCATGAGACCAGCAAGTTCTTCTTCAACGGATGCGACGGCACTCTTGGGCTCCGTAGAGGTCACATGACTGTACGACACTTCCTTTCCTTGTTCATGCTGGCCTTGGCTTCTTTCGATTCGGACATGTGATCCCACTGGACGCTTTTCAACTTTCACTTTGACGAGCGTGGCAGTCCGCGGGGCGGCTCTCGGAGGTCGGTCTTGTCGAATGGCTGCTGAAGAACCGTCGTTGCCCTGAGATCGGACAATCGCAACGGCTCCTTCAAGCCCTTCTCCGATGCCACGTTCCGGCTTCATGCCTCCCACTGTCGCTACTTTCACGGCCGGCTTTCGGTCGGCCGAGTCGACTAATTCTTGGCGCGTGCCAAGTTCGTTCAAAATTTCGT